AGGATACTTTAAACAGCATTGTTTACAACAGAATTGGGCAGATTCCTGGAAAAATGTAATTTACCAAAATGGACTTAAGAAGAAACTGAAAATATTCTTATTTCCCCAAAATTAATTAATTCAGTTGTTAAAAATCATCATACTCAAAATGTACAGGCACAAATTGTTTTACCAAAATATTCCAGCAAACATTCAAAGAATGAATACTTCCAACCTTATACGAACTATTCCAGAGGATAGAAAAAGAGAGAATACTTGACAAATCATTGTAAGACTTCAGCATAATCTTGATATCAAACCAAGGACAGTTTGAGAAAGGAAAATCTAATTTATGAATTTAGAAAAAAAACTTAAACATTAGCAAAATGAGTCCTACAATGTATAAATAGGTCAGGGAGGGCAGGAAGAGAATGTGCCTCAGGAGGAAAGAAAAAGAAGATAAGAGGAAGGAGACCGACCAGAAGCACAGAAGAAAGAGCAGTCAGAAAAGTTGGTGGATTGATACCAAGAATTAACTTCACCTCCTTTACAATTTTTTTTTTTTTTCGAGACAGGGTCTGGCTCTGTCGCCCTGGCTGTACAGTAGTGGTATAATCTCAGCTCACTGCAACCTTTGCCTCCTGGGGTTCAAGTGATTATTGTGCCTCAGCCTCCTGAGTAGCTGGGACTACAGGTGTGCATCACCACACCCAGCTAATTTTTGTATTTTTAAAAGAAATGGGGTTTCACCATGTTGGCTAGGCTGGCCTCGAACTCCTGACCTCAAGTGATCCGCCCATCTTGGCCTCTCAAAGTGCTGGGATAACAAGCACTTTACAGTTTTGACAGTCCTTACTCTAGGACTACAAAGTGCCTAAAGAAAATGATACCTCAATCTTTTAAATTCGTTGTTCAAATAGTTACTAAACCTTTCCTATGTACAAGGCATGCTGAGCTGGGAAATAAGAAAGTTCTGCTCTGAGATCTGGTGAAGCTGGCAGTGGCTTCTGCCACATTCCCTCGTAGAACACACAGAACAACTGAGATTACAAAATGTATTATGGGGCACAGACAACCTCCACAAAACTAGGGACTAGGTATCCCCACAAATCCCAAATTATGAGCAAATAATGACAAATCAATCACCAATAGCTGCAAGATTTAGTTGGTGTCAGCGTCTGTCCAAGAGGAAGCAATGGAGTATCTGACAAACTTGACTTCGAAGAAGCCAAGAAGCATGTATCTGGAAAAGAACAGTAACCGAAACTAGGAGGGTTTGCATGGTCCAAAAGTGTCCGTGGTAAGAATAAGGAGCCTGAATATACTGAGCTCCCTTTACTCTCAAAGGTACCCAACAAAGTCCCTCCAAGATAAAGCTATGATCCAAACTAAGAATAAATTGCTAAGAGAATCTAAGCTGAGCAGGTCAGGGACAGTAGAGACCAAGGAAACATGAGGTCCAGATAAAAGTCCTAAGGGAGAATAAAACCAGAAAGTCTTAGAATTTAAGTATTCATATTGTTGAACACTTTATACAAACAACCAGAAGAGGGTGGTCTAGAGACATTAAATTTTAAAAACCCAAAATGATTCTAAGCCAAGTTTCTTTTCTAAAACTTTAGAAAATCTCATTTGGTGTAAAAATGAGCAACAGAAAAGAATGAGCTAAAATCACATTCAAATTTATTACAGGGCAGGGAGAAAAAAATAAGTAGAATTTCTATAGATAATAAAGGCATGCCAGAAAGATATTCTCACCAAAAAAAAAATGGAAATTTTTTTTTAAACAGCTAACAGAAGATATGAAAGATAAACCACAATAAAGAAAACTTAGAAATAAAGTGGTAGAAATAAAGGAAGAATTAGACATAAAAGTAAACATTCAGTTCAGAAATTGTCTAACTAGAAGTATAACACAAGAGCAAATACATTGGTGATGACTTAACAAAAAATAGAAAATGAAGAGAAGGGAATTTGTAAAGCTCTAAAGGAAATGAAGATGCCAAGGACTGAGATGGGAGAGATGGGAATGGAGAGTCATTGTTTGATGGGTATAAATTTCAGTTTTGCAAGATACAGAGTTCTGGAGATGGATGGTGCTGCTGACTGCACAACAGTGTGAGTGTGCTTAATGCCGCTGACTGTACGCTTAAAAATGGTTATGATGGTAGTTTTTATGTTATGTTTTACCACAATTAAAAAGGAATGAAAAAGGAAAGAATAGATGAAAAGTATTAGTAAGAATGTGATAAATTGAGAAGACAGGCAGAGAAGATCTGACATATCTATATAAAAATTAGGAATCCATGAATAAAAAATCAAGTTAGAAGAAGCACCTAATTATAATGCACCAAAACTTTCATCAAATGAAAAAATTTGAAGTTACATGTTGAAAGAGCACATTGTATACCTGGAAAAATTGGCCCAGAACAAATATCTGAGCCATAGACCAAATGACTTATGAAAGAAAGAAAAATGAATTGTTATTAGGCTTTTCAAGAACAATGTCGTACAGCAGAAGAAAACAGAATAACGTATTTAGAATGTTGAAGGGAGATAAACAATAAGCCAAGGATTTTATGTTCAACTAAACTGTCTTTTAAATACGAAGGGAACAAACTGCCACCCAGAAGCAAGAACTGAAAAATACTGCTTCTGTGAATCTTTCCTTGGCATACAGTAGCTTCAGACAACCAAAATAACTGGAGGAATTTTGACATAAAGATGGACGGTGGGCATTGAATATATATTTACATGAAGAACAAAGAAAGGACATAAGGCTAGAGTGTGATAATGGCTCTATGCTCTGACGATATAGATACAGCATAGTTACAGAAAATAAGGAGAGAATGAGAATATCACATAAAAAATTTGAAACAGTTTTTCAGTACTTATACTGGTAGTAGTTTTGATAGTGTTGTTTTGAGAATGTTTTGTGTGACATGGACAAAACAGTCAATCATCTCCATTGTCCTTGCAATCCAGGATTCTTGCCGCAGACAAAAAGAAATTTGAACATAAGGTAGAAGAGTTTAAGTAACACTGAAATTTGAATTCAGATTATCAGTGTGAACGTGAAGTATTTATCTTCAAATTAATGAATAATATTTACATATATAGTTGTATATATTAAATAGTCATATAATATACTTGTTTATATATTTTATTATGCATATAATATATACAATTATCAATAGCTATAATGTACTAAGTTCTGATAGAGGTACATTCTATAGGAAAGAATAATAGTTATAATGATATAGACATAATTATTAAATGAATAGGAAATTGAACCATAATTAAAATATATATATTTGAACTCTATTTCCAGTTCCTGACACAGAGCTCCCCAAACCGTTGTAATTTCCTGAGGAATCGGGGAGCAAGGTTCATCTTTGTTCTAATGTTTTGTTTTTAACCTGGTATCTGACATAGAACTTCTAACCTTTTGGACTCTCCTGGGTGCTAGGAGAATCTTTTGTTCTAATATTTGGTCTTTGACCCAGTTCCTAACACAGAGCTCCCAAGACCTTTGTAATTTCCTGAGCGACAGTAGCACCTCTGTGTCAAGTGACATAGAGCTCCCAAATCTCTCGAAATGTCCTGGGTGACAGGAGTTCTAATAAGGCGACTCTTGGTGGCCCACTGAATGGGGGCTGGTCACCAGAAAGACTAAGCCATGATTAAAAGTCTGGAACTTTCAGCCTCACTCTTCATCCTCCCAGAAGGGGAGAGAGGCTGACGATTGAATTAGTAATTAATCATGCCTATGTGATGAAGCCTCCATAAACCTTCCTGAAGCATGAAGTTTGGGGAGCTTCTAGGTTGCTGATGTGGAGGGTGGCATACCTCATGAGGCCGTGGACATTTCCTGCCTCTTCCTGGATACCTTGACCTCTGCATCTCTTCCATCTAGCTGTTCATCCATGTTATTTGTAGTATCTTTTATAATATACCAATCAACATAAAGTGCTTTCCTGAGTTACATGAGCCTCTCTAGCAAATGCTCAAGCCTAAGGAAGTGGTAGTGGTTACTTCCAATTTATAGCCAGCCAGTCAGCAGTTCCAGACAGAGGTCCACATGCAACTAGCATCTGTCATGGGGGCAGTCTTTGGGACTAAACCCTTAACCTGGGAATCTGATTCTAACTCCAGGTAGACTGTGTCAGAATTGAATTGCATTATAGGACACTCAGTTGGTGTCCACTGGAGAATCAGTTGTTGTGTGGGGAAAAGTCCCCACCAATTTTGGTGACCAGAAGTGTTGAGTGTGAGAGTAGGAAAAACAGTTTATATCACTTAGAAATAATTCTTGATACAGTGATATACATATAATCATTATGCATATATAAATGTATAGATATAATGGAACAAGCTAAGATATTCATTCTGTCCTAGTTTGTTCTATTCTATAGAAGATGTGTTATGTTCTCTTTCTCTCCTAGCTTGGTCCATATAATTATGATAATTACCTCTTAGTTCTGCCCATTGAAATGACCTAGAAATTATAACTCTCTCTATAGATAAGTATATATATAGTGTGATAACTATGTGTGTGTGTGTGTGTGTGTATCTCCTAGTTCAATCCCCTAGCTCTATGTATGTGTGTGAGTGTGTATGTATATATCTCCCAGCTCAATCTGTTATATATAGCGCTGTCCATTGCAAAGGCGTGGAAACTATACTGAGGCTACTATAGGTGGACATCCCTAGCCCCTGGTTTTTGGTCTTGATTTGCTATTTACCATTAAAAGAAACCAGGGAATCTTGGAGAAATGGCTAGTTTCAGTGCTGGACAGAAAATGTACAATAAGCCTAGAGTATAGCAGATATCAAGGAAGCCACCAAAGACTAGTAGATTTTGTCAAAAGTTGGAACCAACTTAAAGATAAGGCAATTTGAACATCTATAAGGCCAATAACAAAATTCACAAGATTATAATGAATTATAAAACTCCATATAACTGGTTGTATTTTTAACCAACTCTTTATTTTGAAATCTGGCATTCATTTTGTTTTTTCTATATGAAATGCAACACTGGGTAACCAAATAGTAGATAAGGGGAAGCTTTTCTCTATAGAAGGATCCCAATAAATAAATGGACAAGGAATCATAGAGTTGGAATGTCACCAGTATGCAACCCCTAGTGAGTTAAAGGCCTTGGATAATGAACATCAATGGTAGCTGACATCACAAAAAGAAAATTAAATATCATGTACTCCCTAACACAAAAAAAATTCTTTAAACAAGTTTTATTAAAATTTTTGAATCTACATCTGATTGTGCCTTTTGATTTACAGAAAACACAATTTACAAAAAAATACATAGGACAGAGGAACATATTAAACTACACCATGGGAATGCAATAAACTCTTAGAAATTCTATAGGATAAATGATCCAGTTTCTTACACAAATAAAATATAGTGGGAAAAGGACAGAGATGAAAGCATAAATTGAGTGATTTAAAAGATATTAAAAAATATAGATGAGCTATAAGGTTTAGGGAATTGTACTTGGGTAATAAAGAAAAGTTAAGAAATGATTATTGTAAAAGCCAGTGGTTACTCTTGGTAGCAGAAGTGGGGGCTGTCATTGGGAAGGGCACATGGAAGACCCCTGGGATGCTGACCACATTCTGTCTTTGTCTTAACATGATGGTGGTTACAAGGATATTCACTTTATTTATAATAAGTAGTGAAGCTATACATTTTAAATGCCATTTCTGTATTTAACACAAAAATTTTCAAAGAAAATCTTCCTTTAGGAATTTGTCATCTAGTATGAGGGAAACACACATTATGTGAGAATATTTAGAATATCTAGTAACGCACTATTAGTGTTACATGATTGGTCTCCAAAACAGGTAAAATAGGAGTTCAGAAGAAAGAAATGTCACTTCCAACTGGTGTGGGGACCTTTGATACTCTTTTTTTAAAGGCAAAGGAAAGAACAGTACATCTCAGCTCCAAACCCACTCTTCTTTGCCTTCCTTTGTAATACTGGAGCTGGACACTGCAGACACTTCTCCTTTGCTCTCTGATTCGATGCTAAACTCTGTCAGTAGAAGATGCTAAAAAGAGATTGCAGGGTGTTAATGGCAGGAAAAAAGGACTTTCCTTGTTTCACTGAGTATGCTTTTTTTCCCCCTTTACCTTGAATACTGTTATATTTTATTTAAAAAGAATACAAAAGAAGAGCTCAGAAGAAAACAAATCGCTCACCCCCACCAAAATGTTGTCCTGTTGGTTATCTTCTTCCTCAACACTCCCTCTGTGCCCTCACAGGACCACTCCTAACAGAGACAAGGGTACAAATGGAGCTTACCTACAATTTTCATTTTAAATCAATATAATTTCCATCTGGTACAAAATTTGAAGTTGCAGAATTTTAATTGATTTTAAGTTCTGGGGTACATGTGCAGGATGTGCAGGTTTGTTACATAGGTAAACTTGTGCAATGGTGGTTTGGTGCACCTATCAACCCATCACCTAGGTACTAAGCCCAGCATGTGTTATTTCTGGGCAGTAGCAAGCAGACTCGTGAGGAAATGTCGAGGAGAACCTTGTAATGTTCAACAAAGCACAGGCTCCCACAGTTCAGTGCTGGGTGATTCCCAAGTGGTCTCTCCATCAAGTTTCTTCATTCTCACAGCAGTCAGATGTGTATCTCTGTGCATCCATGCCTTCTCACAGAAGCTGAATATTTCTAAGTCTTGCAGAGCTCTTTCCTCTAAATTTCCACATTCCTTCCTTATTCACTTTCCCTTGGCCTTAGGGATAGTAACTGCTTTCTGGAGTTGCTACCTTTGAATATCTTAGTATTCTCTTTTATACCTTTTAGTACTTAACTATCTTTACCTAGTTAACAATTCTTTATATTAAATTTTACCAGCTCAGATTACTGGTTTTTCTGCCATCTGCTGACTGGACCTTATGCTGATGCAATGTTTGCACCTGAGGCTACGGAAGTCAAACACACATTCACATAGATAGTGGTGAGCTGTTGAAGGCTTCTGAGGAAGAAAATGATGCTTCCTTTTAATTTTTATTTTTAAAAATTATAAATTGACAAATTATAGTTGTATATATTTACAAAATGATGTTCTTAAAATATTATATCAGAAAGTTAAATGCGGCCGACTTGTTTAAAAGAAGGAAAGCCAGGAGGTTTCAGACATGCCTAAGTCATGAGGATGAATTTTAATTCCAGCTCTCCTTTCACTCAGGAAGGGCTAAAATTTTGCTGACAGGGATATGGCAGGCACCTAGTGTGTTTGTGGTTATTTCTGGCCAACTGTTTTCTTATTTTTTTCAGATATTGAAACTGTAATGAAAGGGAATATAAAATATATTTCATTTTCTACAGAAAATAGAAAATTTGAGGGAGAAAATGTGTTTGAGGAAGACAGCCCCAATTCATTTTTTTTTTTTTTGGTTTCTCAAGAAAACTAGATGTTGAAATCAGATAGCCTGGCTCACCTCATTATTTGCCAGTTTTGTGCCCTTGCGAAAGTTACCTAGCTTTCTGTGACTTTGTTTTCTCATTAGTGAAACAGAGATATGTAACAATGACTACATTTAACAGTTGTTGTTAATGTATCTGATGTGCTTAGGACAATGTCTGACCCCCTAGTAAACACTATATATGGTTAATATGTTTAATACTGCTTAGTTTATTATATCCCACATACATGACTTCTTTAGCTATTCCTGATTTTCTTTTCTTGGCCCCTGAGCTAGTGACTGCAGAAGAGATGGTCCTACCCTCAAGGAATTTCTCTTTATTTGGAGAGACAAGACTTAAAGATCAGAGGAAATTGCTGGCAGTAAGCATAAGTAAAAATGCCAACTGCATAACCAAGTCAGTGCTTGCTGTGGGAGGGAGTGGGCTTTATTGCTGGACAAGATTACCCAGGACAAGGTCAGTCAGAAAACAGGTGTGTAGGTGTGTGGATGTGGGAGGGGCAGGGACAGAGTATAGAGAAAGTGGGCAGTGAGGAGGGAGATTTAGGCTAGGAATTTCTGCACCAGCAGCATTTTGATAAATAAAAGAGGAGGTCGGTGGGGAAGGAAGGGATGAGGTGAACAAGCAAAAGGAAGTGAAAACACATATGTGAGAGACATTGCACAAGAGGGTGAGTCTCTGAATTTCTTTTGATAAGAATAACTGAATTCTCAGGCCTACATAGCAGGTGGAGTGATGGGACCATGGTACTGAAATAGCAAAACTAGGAGGCAGAGCTGGCTTTGAGAGGTCAATGCATTTGACTGCTTCCAAGATTTGTTTGTTGGGAAGATTGGATGAGACACTAGATATAAATCATTTAGCGCAGTGCCTGGCATAGAGTCAGTGCTCAATATACGCTAGCTACTATTATTTATGCACTCTAGAAGTCACATTGCAGAAATTTAAGTGCAATGCTAAAAGATGCCGGCCATGAATGAATATGGAAATGTGCATATTATATTTTCTGACTTTTGTTTGTACACTTGGGTTCTTTTTCCTGAAGCAAACAAAAAATATTTTTATAGCAGCAAGATTTAACTTGAATTGTCACCATGATTTTAGCAGAGAAAAGAAAACTGGGATAATAAAACAGTCAGACCCTAAGCAAGGACTTCTAAGAGGCCTTAGGGAAGCAAATTAGCCAATATTCTGTCACTTTTCTCTCCAATTACAAATCTCACTTAGAGTTGGGTTTGTTTTTTTTTTCTCACTTAGAATAAAGGAAATGGAAATCTTGACAGCTTTTGGTTCAGAAACAGTTGATGGTATTGTTAGAACAAGCACATTCATATGCGCTATAAAGCTGACCGAGGGTGCTAATGGCATTTATAGAGCCATGTGGGGGAACTACCTGAAGGGGCTTGGTTGTATTAGAATCCTGTTTACACAATGCAATGCATTTAATTTGTGATAAGTAGATGTAATAATTTATTGACTTTTGTCTTCTTTCTAGACCCTGTATTCTTTCATTTTACTTAAAAATGCATTTATTTAAATGCTGCATGAGCATTGAAAGCAAGCATTGTAACTGAAATTTTATATACCACTGACTCCATAAAATTACAAAGTATAGCATAGGAGATGAGATGTAAAGGAGCAAGCAATTAATGCTGTTTAAGATGTTTTCATTGAGAGCTGGTATCTTTTTTTTTAAAAAAAGTCATGTGTTTGTCTTTTTTCACTGTCAAAGTGAGGTAAGAATCTAGACTCAAAGAAGACTCGAACTGAGAGGTGGCTTGGTAATGGTCTGGTGCAACCCCACGCTTCGTAGACGAGGACATTAAGGGATTACGTAATTTGTTCAAGACCACAGCAGGGCCCACCATCAGGACCAGAACCTGAATCCTGCTGCTGGGTTGCGTGTTGCCTTGTTCCCCAGCTTGTGCTGATACCTCTGAAGAGTCATCACTGATAACTGAGTGATATGATTGGGCTTCGTGTCCCTACCTAAATCTCAGCTTGAAGCTTCCTTTTCATCTTCTGCCATGATTGTAAGTTTCCTGAGGCCTCCCCAGCCAGGCTGAACTGTGAGTCAATTAAACCTCTTTCCTTTATAAATTACCCAGTCTTGGCCAGTTGTTTATAGCAGTGCGAAAATGGACTTATACACTGGGCTAGAATCATTTAAAGCATTAAAGGAGTTCTGAATTGGAAGGGGCTTTTGGGAGCATCAGCCTCCAGGCTTTCAGTGAATCTCAGGGGTTTGCCCAAGGTCACAGATAAGGGTAAAAGAAGGCGGCCTGGATCCAGCTCCCATGACCACTGCATTTCTTTGAACCACTCAACAATCTAGTGGACTAACGATTTGCAGAATTTTCATCAAATAAATGGCATTAGGGCCTGTCTTCACTAAGATCTGTGTTTCATACTTCCACTCACCCCCATTTTCTGACACTCCAATTCTCCTCTGCAGACAGGAGGGGCTGGGCAGGTGGTCTGTGGGCTCATTGAGCTCCAACCTGCACCATTTTGGTGATTCTGAATTCAGTGCATGGATGAATTCCCTAGATTCCTTTCATAAACATTTTGCTGCAACCAGACTAATTATTTCTCGTTCAAACAACCCATGACATTTCCTGCCTCTGTGCCTTTGCAAAACTTTTTAAAACAGTTTTTTTGCCTCATCTTAATTTATTTAATTATGCTCCCTCTGGAACATAAGTGCCAAGACAGCAGAGACCTGTCTTTCTCACTACTGTAGTCCTTCGCTTGTAGGAGTGTCTGGCACATAGTAGACACCCAATAAATATTTGCTAGAAATGAATAGAATTGCTAGAAATGAATAGAAATTATTATAGGTGCTGCTTAGTTCCCATCTTCTGAAGACTTATTAAACCACAACTAGGGGTCTTTGATTCTTACATATAGATTCAATCAATCTCATCTTGGGCTTTTTCCTCAATTCTGACCCAGAAAAAAAGAGATGTCAAGGCTTTTTGCCAGGAAAGATATGACTTGGAATCAACTCAATTTTGCTGCTACTTGGTCTCTGTCTTTGGACCTTAGCACTGGACTTTGTTTTCCCTCTTTCCAGAGTACATCTCACTCTGATGACAAATCCAGTGCCCTTTCCTACCAGGTGGCAGTTCGGTGTACCTTGTTTAACTTAATGTTAAAAAGGTCATGCCATAACTTCTGACTATTAGTTCTTGTGGCTAACCTTCCTCCTGGCAGCTGCCACTGACCCTCGCCACAGTGCCTCCTGTACTCTGGGGATGGGTTCCCCAGGCCTCCATATCCTGCTCTCATTAACTCAGTTACCTCATGATCTGTACCCTGTCCTGTATGGGAGTTATACTTTTGGTACCCTGGTATATCAATATATATTAATATATTTATCTTGCCAGGCTTGTTATTCAGAGTTCTCTCCATAAACTCTGGTGTACTGGAGGATGCTGTCTGCTTGACTTGTCCATGTTCCTTTCCTGGTGCTGTGTGTCTTTAGTCATCCTTGACAACTGGGGTTGGACTGGCAAAGTCAGCCACCATCCTGGATGGCCTCTGCAGTGTTTCATCATTAACTCCAGTTAGCAGAGTTTATTGGCTACATGGATCTTTCTCCCAGAGCTTTTGTATGGGTCCCTTTCCCAATCATCTTCACATTCAGGGAAGGGTGGCTGTTTCCTCATCTATCTACAACATGGTTAAGAGCTAGCATTCCAGCATCAGACTGTCTGAACACCAGGTGTGTGATCTAGGCAAGTTACTTACCTCCAAGCCTCAATTTTTTCACCTGCAAAACAGAAGAAGAACACAGGCCATAACAGTATGTTGTCTCATACGATAATGTTGAGGACTGAATGAGTAAATGTAGACAGTAAATTCTGTGTGAGACCCAGAGTTAATGGGCTCTCCCGCCTGCTTTAACTCTCCAAACTGTTCCAGCCTATGAGCTCCCATATGCTTATATGCCACATCACTCATTCTGGATTTAAGGTACAGTTATGCATAACATAATGATGTTTCCATCAATGATGGACCTCTCATGTGATGGTATTATAAATTACAATACTGTATAAAATTACAAACAAATAAAATTATAATGTTGTATTTTTACATACTTTTTCTACGTTCAGATACACAAATACTAATGTTACAATTGCCTACAGCATCCAGCACAGTCACATGCTGTGCAGGTTTGTAGCCTGCAAGTAATAGACTACTCCACATAACCTAGGTATGGAGGAGGCTATACCCTCTAGGTTTGTGTAAGTACGCCATGATGTTCTCACAAGGATGAAATTGCCTAACGAAGTGTTTCTCAAGACATACTTCCATCATTAAGTGACACATGAATGTACTATATTGCAATGGCACTTTCAATTTTTAGATCCAAGTCTTGCATCCACAGTTATATTGTCAGTTCCTTCAGGTAAAAATATGTGTCTGGTGCCATCTTGTATCATTCAGGCCAAGCCCAGAGCCCCGCATATACGATACAAACAACAAACCCTTTTTTATTGTTGGTATAAATAATATCATTTATTCTAAAAATCAGACACCATGACTCCACAAACTTTGATGAGCCTGCTCATCCTGAAGTACATTTGTTTTGTTGATAGTGTATTGGCAAGGACAAATACCAAGGCAGACAGAGACACTTATTAGCCATCCTGGGGATTATGTGGGTGGCAGCTATCCTGGGACGATGTTCTTTGTTAATGATGTTCTTAGAGTCACTCACAGCAGTGGTGAGAAATAACAGTGATCATGCTGAAAACCTGCTTTTCGATTGGCTTAGGAAAAAGATGATATCTGGGACTTAGCCAGTTGGAGACTAAGAGATTTACTCCATGGTATTTTATATACTGCTTTACTATACAACACTTGTAATGGCAGGCTCTATTCCTCACTGGATAGTTTCATATTTGCCCAGTTGATTGATGATTTTCCTGAAACTTTGTATTTTTGACTTTGCCTACTATCGACCCCAATAGAATGAAAACTTCCAAAGGATTATCATTAAGTTCAAACTTCTTGGAGAAAGAAATTTAGTACTATTAACTGGTCACCTGAGAATAGCTTTAAAAAAGAGCTTATTTGGGTTCTGACCTTAAACTCAACTGGCATTTGTGCTCTGGTTCTATAACATCTGCAGTGAAAGATTATAGGAGATGAGAGAATCAAACAAGTAGACTTATTATGATATTGTCTTAGGCTGTTTTGTGTTGCTCTAAAGGAATACTCGACACTGGGTAGTTATAAAGAAAGAAGATCGATTTGGCACACGATGTTGATGGCTGGAGAGATCCTGACTGGGCATCTGCATCTGGTGAGGGCCTCGGGCTGCTTCCACTCATGACAGAAGGCAAAGGAGAACAGGTGCATGCAGAAATCACGTGGTGAGAGAGGAAGCAAAAGAGTGGGGAAGGAGTTGCCTCACTGTTTAAAATAAATGTTTATCTCAGGAACTAAACACTCACCCATGAGGGAGGGCATTAATCTTTTCATGAAGGATCTGCCCCTATGACCCAAATACCCTCCCCACTAGTCCCACCTCCAACACTGGGGATAATTTCACCAGAATTTTGGTGGGGGGTAGGCAAACCATATCCAGATGATAACAGGGATATGTCAGGATTAAGACTGGAGGCTTACAGGTAGAGGTTGTGAAGACTTGGAGAAAGGGAAACTGGATTCTAGTTCTTTACTTTCCTAAAATGCAAAGGTGATATTATAATAGTCCCATAGTCTCTTTCTATGAAATGGGGGAGAAAATCTATTTCCCTATCAGGTTATCCTCAGAGATTTGTAAAAAATTACACGTTTGCTAAAGATCCTTATAAGCGTAAAAGCACTGCGTAAGTGCAAGGTGAACAAGATGGTTTTGTTGACTACAGTCCCCTGGGCCTGTTGGTGTTCCCAGTGCTTGACACAGTGACCTGGACAGACCAGGCAACAGGGCGCAGGGTGCATGGTTCTGATGGCTGCCATTATTTAACTAGAGACCAGCTGATCTGAAGGAGGGCAGGAATCCTTATGCAGTAAGCCATATTTTCCCCTTAGACTGGATTTGCAAATTCTGATACAGGGATATAGCGGCCTTTGTTTCTGATTTTAGGAAAAGGGTCTGGAGGAAACAGGATCTCATATCTCAGGGTTTCTTTCTCTCTAAAAGGAGAAATCTCCAAACACATCGAGAAACAGATGATTGTTTCTTTATGGGTCAGTCTTATTTTGAAAGGAGAGGATTGAGAAGAATGGACTTAAAATTACAGAAGGGATATTGTTTGGCAAAGAGAAGAGAAGCTGATTTTTCCAGGGGAAAGAAAAATGTGACAGTGAGAGAGCTGAAGGGTTTTATGTCGGCTTGAGGGTTGGCGGTAACCCAGTCCATTACCAGCAGAGACCTGGGTAGACTTCTGGACATTTTTAAGAAAAAGAGAGGTAATTACCTTTCTGCAGTGACTTAAGGGCATTTCTGTTCAAGGCCTCTTCATTTCTTTGTTGAGTCTATAAACTTTGTGAGGGAAAATAGAAATGTATATCTACTTCAAGAATAATGTGACAAGCTATCTTTTACAGTGAATTCTTGCCATTTAGGACTTTGTATTTTTTAGTACAGTGACCTCTAAGAAATGAGAAATAATGACATTTGAAAGCAAGATGTCATGAAAACACACATTAGTGACTAATTTTTTAAGCACATAATATGTCTTAAGTGTTAACTCCCAGAAAAGCAGTGCCCATGTGCTATCTCTAAAGGGAACAGGAAAGATGAAAAACCAAAAGCCGAATATAGATGATTTTAAAATTGAAGTTATTCATTGTCCAAATTCCCAGGGGCTCAGAAAAAAAGCGACCAACATCAGATTGTTATTCTCTTGCAGAAAAGTGGACAAAGTAGTAAAAGAATAGAAATAATTTACAAAAGTAACTGACCCAAACATCAAAATTGCCTCAAGGGACTACAGGTAATAAAATTGTACAGTATTTGGGATCCTGCTAAATGAGCAAATTTTAGCTACTCTTGTCACAAAAACAAAGAAGTGAGTAACTATGTGAGGTAATGGGTACATTAACTTGCTTCACTATAATAACCTTTTAAACTATATACATCTATCCCACAACAACATGATGCATGTCTTAAATATACAAAATAAATTTTATTTTTTTAAAAACAATAACAATCCCTCCCTCTACCTAAAAAGCCTAAGGGATTCTCCAAAGGCTACCCTTAGGGAGAGATTCCTATAAAAATGTTTTCAGAAAAATTCATCTTTTTAACAGTGTTAATAACATTAAGACTTTAAGAAGTACTTTCTGTCTATTAAATTCTGAGGGAAAACACTTATCCAGAGGCAAGAAACAGCTCATGCTAGATGATCCATTAATCCCTGAACTAGGCCTACAAATGAAATGGTTTATAGAGAAAATAATTAAAGAATTTACAATCTTTGTCAAAAACTCAAAATAACTCCCATGATTTCTCTGTTTCAAATAAAGATTCATAGGCAGATCCAAAGAGTAATGATTTTTAAATTAAAAAATTTTATGAGCTTTTCAAGAGAGGAATAAAGCTAGAAGGTCAGGCTCTTTCTCTGAGGGGGGAAAATGGATAATGTGGGAAGGACTATAAAAGCAAAACAGGAGAAGAAAAACCTTTTGAGGCATGCCCACGAAAATGCATTTACAGAGTACAGTAAAACTACTTAATACCCAATTTTTATTACAGAGAGAATGGTTCCCTAAGCAAATTAATAGCAGAAAGAAGATTTCAGGTAGGATCTAGAACTCAATTATGAGAATAAGTCATGCTTGTCATTAGTACAATTTACAAACCAAAAATGTCTCACCTGATGCTTATGTGTTTACAACAGAAGGGCTGCAAACAACTCAATAATGTTTTGGTAAACCACTTGGTTGGATTAAATGTTTGTAAAAATCATCACAGATGTTTCCAGTGGGAGGGATGTTAGAGAAAATCTAAATCGATTCAGTCTCAAGGTATACGTGAGAAAAAGGGGTCCCTCCAGGACTGGGTGTTTGGTGAAAGGTCACAGCTAGTTAGTAAAAAACTGGGTCTAGAACCATGCTTTAAAATTTCCTGTCTAGATTTCTTTTCTCTGCTATAATCCTTTACTTAAATCAGCAATAGAATCATAAATTAATTCAGGTCGGAAAGAGGCCTTACAACTCATCTAAATTTGGGAGTAACCTTTTGGTTGAAGTACAACATACACACTGAAAACTGCACAAGTCATAAGTATGCCACTTAGTGAATTGTCTCAAACTGAACACATCTACACATCAAGAAAGAGCGTTACCAGAATTCCAGAAGATCCCTTGTGTCCCCCTTCCAGTTACTGCTCATTCCATGTCCCAAGATCAAATATTTTTATGCCCAGTTCAGGAATGAATAAACTGAAGTCCAAGCTGAATAAATGATTTTTGAAAGCAAATTATTAGTAAGAACACAAAACATGGTTTTGTGAAGCATACTTTAATATTTTTCCATTACTTAATTTATCAAATTAACTAATTAACTATTTGGAATTACTTAAATTCCATCTCATTCAACAATGTAAAGCCCAGCACAGTATAAAACAGTAGTGAGTCCCCAAAATATTTTGTGGAATGAATTAACGAAATTATTTCTGCCAAGTGGCTGTCTCACTTTTTCTTATATATTTATGCTTTGAATATTATGCATTGACTGAATGTAATATCTTTCTTGTCTTTTATTAGATATGAATCATAAGTGTTGAAGTTTCCTCCTGTTCCATACATGATCTCTGTGTTTTTTGTATGTTTCTCTTATTCTCATTACATCATGTTGTTGATTCCAGGCTGTGAGTGGTTGTGCGTGAGGCACTATGAAGCTGTATGCATGGGTGGTATTTCCCTTTGCAGGAATTTTTTTCTAAGGGGATTAGATGTGAACCACCTACTCACTGGGTGACTTCCACTATTCATATTTGAAGAACTTTTTTCTCTGGGGTTATTTTGCTAGAAAATAACCTTCAAATGCCTGGGGGAACATGGAGACTGCAAGTATTTTGGAAGCAGTGTGTGTGGAGTCGTGGGGCCCAGTCATCATGCAGACTAAATCTTGTTTTTATTTCTACACCTCGTTCCCATTCTCCTTTAAGGATGAATAAAAGTCAAAGTCGTTTTTTTGTCATCATCACACCATGGTAATTTTATACAATGCTAGTGATAAAATATTATTGTTCTCCCGTCAAATCTTGTTAGTCTGATTTTAAACAATTGTGGTTACTACTAAGTTTTTGACTTTATCATAACATAAAAGTCGCCTAGTTAAAGTGTACATTTGATGAATGTTGGCAATTGTATACAGTTTGATGAATTTTGGTAATTGGATTCAAGATATAAAACAGTTCCATCACCCTAAAAAGTTCTCTGTGCCTCTATGCAATTGATCTTCTGCCCCAACTTCTAGACCCAGGCAACCACTCATCTACTTTGTCTCACTATACTTTTACCTTTTCTAGAATTTCATGTAATTAAACCAAATGGTATGTAGTTTTTTGTTTGTTTTGTTTCACTTAACATAATACTTTTGAGATCCACCCAGGTTGTTGTGTGTATTGAGTTCCTTTTTATTACTGGGTAATATTTCATCATCTAGATATATCATAATTTACCTGTTTACATGTTGGTGAACATTTGCCTTGTTTTCAGATTGTGACAATAGTGGATAATGCTTCATGGACAAGTTTTCATGTAGACACAGACATTAATTTCTCTTGGATAAATGCCTAAAAGTAGGATTGATGTATATGTTTATATGACACTGCCATAATGACGTCCAAAGTGACTGTGCCATTTCGCATTCCTATCAGCAATGTATGAGTGTCATCATTGCATCACATTATAATGAACGTTTGGCATTGTCAGCATTTTAATTTTTAGCCATGCTAGTGGGTATGTAGTGTTATCATATTTTGATTTTTATTTCATTTCCTTGATGACTTGTGATATTGGGGGTCTTTTTATGTGCTTCTCCATTTGTTTATCTTCTTTCATGAAGTTTCCATTCAAATATTTTTTTTGTCTTCTCATTAATAGGTTGTTTTCTTCTTGAGTTCTAAGAGTTCATGTCATATTTTGGGCACATGCCCTTTGTCAAATATTTATTTCACAAATATTTTCTAATTTATGACTTGCCTTTTTGTTTCCCTCACCCATGTCTAAAAATTTAAAAGTTTTCAATTTTGATGAAATGTATTTTATCAGTTTCTTTTCTCTTAGAAATCTTACTTATTGTATCTTCTAGAAATCTTTGCCTGATCCAGATCAAAAAGATTTTCTTTCATGTTTTTTCCGAAGTTTTATAGTTTTAGTTTTTATGTGTATGCCTATAAATTTCAAGTTAATTTTTATAAATGTGATACATGGATCAAAGTTAAGTTTTAAATAAAATTATCCAGTTGTTCTAGCTCAATTTAGAGAGGATCTTTTCTTTGTTGAATTTCCTTGGCTGGAGAAAGAAGTTGGCGTATTACAGCAGTAGAAAGGAGGTCAGTGTGGCCTGAATCCAGTGAGAGAGGGAGTGTTGTATAATGATGTTAAAGAGAAGGATAGAGGACAAATCTGGTAAGGTCTTATGGGCCTTGATAAGAAATTTGAATTTTATTCTGAGAGCAATATAATTGCTTCAAGGGTTTTAAGCAGGGCCACTGCATGATATGATTTACATTTTAAAAAGATTATTTTTCATCTATATGCACCAATCCAGTCAAACCAACTCTGATGATGAAGGTCACTAATGACCATGCAATATTAAGCTGAATTTGATGGAGTTTTATTATTTATTCAGTGAAGCAAAGTTTGATCCATAGCTCAGCAGTTCTTAAATTGCCAACTGCACATTTACCTCTTTTCCCCCTTCTTGTAAGAGACTGTATAAAACCAGAGCTAATGCACTTTTTTGGATGCTGCTACTGCCAGAAATCTGTGCCAGGGATATTAAAAATGCTACCGGGTGCTTTATGTCCTTTGGCTTCTCTTCCATTGCCAAGGTAAACTCTATGCTAATGCCAATAGGAAAAAGCTTAAGAAGATTTCGCAGTTATTAGAGATCGCATACCCCTTGGTGATTATTACTAGCCTAATTTGAACTATATGGAATTAGCAAAACATGAGAAATCTAGAACAGCATTTTTATACTAAAGAAAAATACCACACATTGTGATCATCCATTGAACATGAAAATTAATTAAATTAGCCTAAGAAGATAGATTTTGAGATTAAATACTATTCTTCTGTGTTAGGGTAGGTTATAAGAGAAATTGTAGAAATCTAATAGAATGAATTTGGTTTTACTGATTTTACTGAAGATCAGTTAACTGATTAACTTTTGTCTAAATTACCTTCCAAAATCTTAATTCCAAAAGGCTCTTTGTGTAAATATATATTTGTGCTTAAACGGTAGAGTTTTTACTAGATGCTTTAACTTTCAGAGTACTAAATATATTGAAGTTAAGAGATGAAGAAATGAAAGTTAGATCATGTAATTAAAATGTATTTAAAAAAATTTCACTGAATGAATTCTTTTTGATCAATATCACGTTTGACTAATGCATTTCCAAATAAGTTTCAAAATTTGCATCACAACTGTAATTCATCTACCACTGGAACAATAATGGCTAGGAGGATAGACAGCTTATTAAGTAAAATGTTGGTACTAGTTTTAATAGTCTCGGCATTCCTTCTTTTTATTTTCTTGATATTACCTCCACATTAATCCACATTTCATGTTAAAGGTTATTTTTATGCTTTTAAATATGTAATTTAGATTTCGTCTTTGAACATGTTAACACTGATTGAAATAGCCTTGTTAGAATGGAGGTGGTAATTTTTTTATTTGAAGAGATGTAGAGAAATTTCCACTTCTGTTGGACTAGATGTTGTAAAAATTCTCCTACCAAAAGCATCTAGAAATTATGAGAGAAATATCTTTGAAACAAAAGGCAAAATGAAACTGAATGATAAGCTAGCACTAAAGCCCTGACTTCCCTGGAGATATCTAATAATACCAGAAACAGAGGTTAGGCTTTTGACAGCCTCGTAAAGGAATAGGAGATAAGCCCTTTTATCTAGTAAGATGGACAAATAACTAAAATTCATGTATAACACTAATATGCTTACAGGGCTAGACTCGTGGTGAAAGGTCAAACTAGAAAAAAAATACATCTTTTGATGAAGAAAACCAAAAGCAAACTTTTAAAATCTTAGTCCTTGGCTTCAGGTGAGGGAAAATATCCCTTCAGAATTCAGAGTACAAGCTTATTGGAACCTGAGTTCAGGATTTGAACTTAAAACACCTACAGAGTTCAAGCAAGGATATGCTGATAAGTTTAAGTGCTTCCAGGTGGGTAGTGCACAAGATTGGTAGAGCACCTACCAGAAAAACCCATACCCATGGGGAGAAAGGCATTCTTATGTTTTCTTCAAATTAAATTCAGAAAAATAGAAGCTCACACATACAAGGAAACAGTCCACAGTGAGCAGAATCAACAAAAACAGTAAGCCATGAATTAGAGGAACCACATCAAACCTGAAATGTTGATATTATCTAATGAATATAAAATAAATGTGCTTAGTATCTTCCTGGAAATGAAATATATATTTTAAACATGACAAAAGACTAAGAAGATATTTTTAAATTACATAGGGTCGGAAAAGAACTACATAGAGTTTATAAAACTAAAAATATATTCATTTAAAACTCAGTGGTGGGTTACTAATCAAACCAAACACAACCAAAGAGAAATTAATGAACTAAATCTGAAGAATTATGCAGAATTTAGCATGGAGAGATTAAGAAAATATAAAGGACAGTTTAAGAGATATGGAAGACAGAATGAAAAGGTCTGCCATATTTGTAATTGGAGTTCCAGAATAAAAAAGTAGAAGAAAAGAAAATATTTGTAAAATATCAGATGATAATTTTCCACAACTTAGTAAAGACAAAAATAAGAGTTAGGAAACAAAAAAATCTAAACAGAATAAAAACCAATCTTAACTCAGTCACATTGTAAATTAAAGTGAAACCAACAGTGACAAGATTTAAAGTGTCTGGCTAAAAACAATGTACTTTCAAAGGAATACAGCCTAAAGTGATGTCACAGCAGCGAAAATGAAAACCAAGAAAACATATTTAGTGTGCTGGGAGAAAATAAAAGTTAATCTAAAACTGTAAACATAGTTAAACTATCTCTCAAGAATGAAAACAAAATACAGATTTTCAGGCAAACACAAATTGGGGGAGTTAATCTCCCACCAACTTCACTAAAGGAATTTCAAAAGGATATAGTACTTGGGGCAAAAGTAGAATGATCCAAGACAGAAGATTTAATATTCAAGAAAAAATCATATGCAAAAAAATAGGTAAAAATGAGAGTAAATAT